GATACCCAGGAGCAGAGACAAACCATCCTCACTATGCCCTGTTTGAATCCCTGACCACAAAAGTCATAAGCATTCTAAAATGGCTGTTATTTTACACCACTAACATGTAACTATCACCAGGATCAAGATATCAAACATTCTAATGTTTTCCCCCTCCATTTATTTCACCCATCCCCCCCACCTCCCCCTCATGGGTTGGTCTTTGTGAATATATAGAGGAAGAAACACAACCTTAATAAGCAGGTACTTTTGTATATTTAATCTTCATGACAAACCATTTGAAGACTAAGGAAGTTGTATGAGGTCACACAATTGTAAGTGGTGAAGTTCAGAGCTCTTTGAATCCAAAACCTCATGTACTGTCCACAGTTTTGCCTTCTACAGGATTATGTTATAATTTAGCAAAGTTCATAGAATTTTACTGTGGTATTTAGGTAATATATTCCAGAGACTTATTTTCAGGCATCTACAGTCCTTTTCACTGACATATCTAGTAGCACTGGGTGTATCTATGGTCTCACCAAGTGGCCTTACTGTTAAACAGAAACTGGAAAGAAACTCCTACAATGTATTCCTGACAGCAAGCAAAATCTATTGCTGGAGATACGCTTTTGTGTTGGTTTTGTCTTGAAATGTTTTATGAAAGACCAGGCTTCTCACACACTCATCAAATCCCTTAGCTGACAAAGATTGATCTAAATGGCTCCCTGGAGATTACAAGCATTCTATAAATGTGAGCAAAAGTAGAATTATATCGGCCCACAAATTAAAATGCCCTTTGTAAAAGTCAATCTGGGGAACTTGAAAATCTTAGGAGACATTAGAAGAAAATCATCATAAAGATCTTGAAATAAATTAGACTTCGTTTTCTCTGGTTTATTAACTGGGGAAGTTTTGGTGCTAAGTGTTACTCTTTGTATAATTTTCCACCTGTCTACACTGTGTAGGTTAAATAAAACTGCATTTGTTCTGTTTACGCTCTTTTTTCAGGAAGCCAGAGGAGGGTGTAACTGTCCTGACAGGCTTGCTGAGCTATTTGTAAACATGCATCACTATCACCTCATTTCATGCAACAAGCTGAAGGTTCCCTGGAGTAGATCCCGTCCCAATGAAATTCTGTTTCTCAATTGAGGTATGGATTCAAAATGTGCACAGATCATACAGTTCTGAACTCAGAATCACTGTATCTCATATTTCCTAAAATCTGCAGGGTTTAGGCAGTTCAGTTTATCTTTACCATCTAAAACAGGGTTTCTTGTAGTGCCTTCCAAAGTGGATTTTTAGGCTACAGTTAAAAAAAAAAATGAGCTACCTATAAAGCACTCTTAAAAGAACTTCTTGTCAACTGAAAATAATATTCACCTGCTATTAGCATACCGTGCACTGCCATTTCAAAACTGCCAGTGACTCATGTTACAAATGCAGCTATTTTTAGGACAGTGCTCGAACCATGCTACCAATATTCCTTGAAAAAGGCACTAATTACTTCATCAAGTATTTCGTGGATGGAAAAGATGGATAGACTTTGCGGATGTAAAGATAGATAAACATACTTGTTATGCTCCAAAATTACTCTCAGTAAAATGTGTTCATTTGGCCATCTGCATGTCCTTGCTTTTTTGCTTAGTCAATAAATCAAACAGACATCAAAAAAGCAATCTGCTTTATATGAAATAGCTACATATTTAGAAATTTTAAAGACACATAACATCACCCTAGAGGTTATACAGCATGTCTGATGTCCAGTTTAGGGCATCAGCATTCCGGACACACTTGAGTAATCCTATTTGCACTAAGGATTCTCTTTGTAATGGCTATGGCTGTGAAACCCTAACACCTATATTCTGAAAAAAGCTATCAAAACTAAATGTGACTAAGCAAAGGTCTAAAACATTACTATCATTTTTAAAAAGTAAGATTGAAGATTTATGAAAAGACTGCCAAAATCAGTAGTGGGGAAAACTATCCTGAGAAATTCTGTGGCCAGCAGCCATGTGAGTACTACCTATTCTAAACTTCCTGTATTATGATGTTGATTATGATTTTGGTTTCCACCGTGAATGACAGTCAATTAGCATTTTTTTTCATTTGTTTTTGTTTTTTTTTTGGAAAATTTATAGCTCAAAATGACTGCCTGGAATGTCCCCCATACATTCAATTGGGACACGGGAGAAAAGCATTAGTTGACTGACACCCGGATTACTGGTTTGTACTAGAAGTGCTGACGCAACCTTCAGTACACCAGGAACACAAAAAGCATGGTTCTGCTTTCGCTTAAAACCATAAAAAAGGTTATAAGCAGCAAACGATGCATATCTAGTACCAAAATTAAAATGCAGCTTTAAAAATAATGGCTATGGGGAAAGTTTCCGTAGGAACTAGGCCTAAGTAGGGCATACTGTCGTCAGTAGAAACATTCCTGAAATTTCCCTTCTGTAAATACAAGCTTGCCTCTTCACGACAGTTTTAATTCTAATTAAGAGGAAGGCTCTTAATTAAGCCCTGAAGATCCCGGTGAAGGGCCTTCAGTAAAACTGTCCTTGTTTTTCCTCCCGAGGTAATTCATTTTGAGGCAATGTAGTGGATCTCTTAAAATCTTCAGAGAAGACATTTCCCTCCCTGCTTTCAGCTACTCTACACAGCAAACAGAATGAGAAAAGCTGCCTGCCCTTTGGAACAGACAAGCAAAGCATTGCTCATTTCAATTCAAGCTTCCCCCTTCGTTTCAAAACACTGGTGGATAGAAGCTTCAAGTCCACAGAACATTTTAAGAAAGCACATTTTGTAAAGTGAGGAGACAAAGCAATTTCCCTATTTTGTTTCCTTTCTTCCCACATTCCCCAAAGTCCAATCTACCCCCCCCCCAACCCCCATGCACAACTACCACCACCTTGGAGAGGAAAAATGAACTGCTACTACGTAAAAGAAAGTCAAGAATTTGTTCCAGATAGCCTCAAACAAAACCATCTTTACACCCCCTACCCAACTTGCTTCCAAACTGTTCTTTTTCTGGGATGAAAACTATTCCTTAAGCATATAAAACTAAGGCTGATTTTCAGGAGCCCAAGTAGAAATAAATGCTGTGGTGTAAGTTTCAGCAATAGGGTAGAATTACAGGTTTAGGGGACAAAAATAGGAAACCGTACCTGCATCCGTTTTTACCTTGCCGAGTCCTATTATCACTAAATTTGCATTAAGCTCCCATCTCCCTATTTCCTTGCCTAAGGAGGGAAAGAAGCTGAGATAAATGGGTACGGAGGCAATTAAGAAAAGATTAGCAAACACTGCGTACAGCTCAACAAACTAGCGCTGGCTTCTCCCCACTCCCCACATTCCTGGCCAAGAGAAAAGGATACGAGCCTGAAAAGAAAATGGGAGTGGAAGCTGGTTTCTCTAACCTATCTTAAAAGTCTTTATACAATCAGAAGGCTATTATTTCAGGAGACAGTGAGAAAGGGGCAAAAGATTCACGTTGCTAAGGAGACATGTTGAAGCTGGCATTCCTACATAAATTTCCATTTCTATTGGACAGGGGAAAGAAAAGATATTTTCTCCAAAGTTTATTTGGATCCCCTGGTTACTGAAGAAAGGCATTTTGCCGATTTACTTTATCTTTAGTTGTAAACAACCAACCCTGAAAGAATTAAAAGACCCAAATGCTGACCTCCTGCTGCCAACCAGTACCCGCCCCCCCCCCCCACAGTGAATTAGGCAACAAAGACAAACCCTTCCACGGGAATTTTGAGGTAATATCAAAGAAAAAGCCTTTTGTAAACAGAAAATAAAATTTATGGAAGAAACTTAACCAAGTGAACTAATTATAACAAGGAACCGAAGACAAAAGTAAATCGTATTTTTGCGGCTTTTTGTGCGATTGCAACTTTCTTTGAACTTGAAACGTTTCCAGGAAAGCTTTATAAGTAGTCCCAGATAAGACATGAAACTGTCAGTAAGAAATTTAATCATTTTCTCAGGGGTGCGAGTGTGTACCTGTGTAAAATAACGGGCAGGTCTTCTCCCTTTATCCCCCTTTCTCTGCACTGACACCAGCAGTTTAAGGATCGAGATTAGGGAGGAAAACGGTTCGCAGCAAGAAATCGGAAGTTGGCACATTTCTGCTAAGGGCGTACGTAAGTAGGGCGCAGGGGAAGGCAACTGGGGGATCAAGGAGCGAGTAAAGCTGTTAAGTCTCCCTGGGACCAGTAGCCCCAGTGACTACCTTCTTCTCCACCCTCCACCCCATCCATTCGCAGTTTCCTGCTTCAGCTGAATAAGCTATAAAGTTCCAGGCATCCGTGAGCAGCAGCTCTTGGACAAGAGAAAGGTCTGGAGGACAGAGGAGGTACTTGGAGCAGGAGGGAAAGAAGGGCAACACACAGTGCCAACGACGGTGTCACCAAAAAAGGAAAGGATATTAAGCCTTTCCCCCTCCCAACCCTCCACACATCCCTCAAACATTTAAAGAAACAATATCCAAACCGCAACTCACTGGGAAAAACCCAGAGAAAGTGGAGCAGAACAGGCAGAAATGGGGGCACGAAGAGGTAAACTCAGGCAAATTCCTCCTTGAGAGGAGGGCGAAGAGAGTGGGGAGGACTGCGCACAGCGCCCACAGCATCTTGGTGGACTTGGGGCATTTCAGCCTGTTTCTTTTTTAACCGGGGTATGGAAGGCGTTACATTTTTAGCGCAGCCGCGTGCTTCTCGCCTGAAGTGATAACAATCACCCAAAAGAGCTAACGGGTTACTCCAGGGCCCGAGGAACGGCTGCGGGAGGAGGGAGAGGGCGTGGGACGGCGCCTTGGGTATGGCGACCAGGGCTGGGGAGAGGAGAGGGCTGGGTGCAGGGAGGCGGCTGGAGTCCGGAGCCGCGAGTGGCCAGGACGGAGGGAGGCGCACAAGGGCAGGGGACACCGGGGGTGGGGGTGGGGGTGGCCGTCTGGGCGGGGGGCGCGGGCAGCCGGAGCGGGAGGCAGGGGGCGCGGCGCGCCGGGTTCTCACCGCTGCTGAGCGTGGACTCGCAGTGCCAGATGTCCAAGCTGGCGGGCTTCCGGCAGGACTCCCAGAGGGACAGGTAGTACTGGTGGTCGGCGGTGACCCAGGCGGGGCTCAGCACGGCCCCCAGGTCCAGACACAGCGCCAGGAAGATGCACACCAGCCCGACCAGCTTCAGCGGGGTCAGCACCGACACGCGCACCTCCTCCATGCCGCTGCCCGCCGAAGCCATGCCCGGGCGCCGCGGCCGGTCGGCCCCGCCGGAGGCGAGGACGCCAGGCGGGTCCGGAGAGCCCGGAGCCCTACCGTCCCCGGAGCCAAGCAGCCGCGCCGCCGCGCGCGAGGACTCGCTCCCTCGGGGCTTCGCACCCCTTCCGCCGCGCCGAGCAGGTGGATCTGCTAAGGCGGCCGGCCGGGCGGGGATCGTGAGCAGCCGCAGCGACGCCGATCCCGCCGCGGACCTTCGCCACCGGCCCCGCGCCGCGCTCTGCCGGGACCCGCTCCGCCCCGGCGCAGCGCGGCTCGCTCCGCCCCGGCCCCTCCCCGGGCTGCAGGAGGCGGTGCCGAGCGGGGGAGAGGGCGGTGGGTCCGCACCCAGGCGGTGTCAGGCTCCGGCTTCTGGCGCGAGAGGCTCGGCCCGCCCTGCCCGTACCCCGTGCATGCGGGGCAGGTCCCTCTTCTGTGTTGCCCCGCTCGCGGCACGAGTCTTCTTGCCCCGTGCACTATGTGCGCGGAGCCTAGGGCGAGCCCCCCGCCCCTTCCCTACTGCGCGAGGCGATTCCTCGAAGCTGCGGGGCCCCGAGCCCCGCCCCTGGCCGCTCTCGTTCCGGGGTCGCTTCCCCCTCCCCAGTTCCGTCACGTGGGTTCATTTTACTCAGTGAGCCGGGGTGGGTCCTTTTCTAGAAGACGTTAGCTGTGGATTCCTAGGTTTCCGGGGCTGTGGCCGTTGGAGCAAAGAGAGGTTCTCTCTCTCAATGATGTAATACCACCTCCAACCCCATCCCCAGATTTCTCATGCTGGGAGATTTGGAGGAAGGAAGAGAAAAGTGCAAAAAACATTTTCATCCTCTCTTTTCAAACCCAGGACAGACCCCGTCTCAGACCTAGTAACCCCTCCGTTTTCTCTATTTCCTAACTTTCCCTCCAAGCCTGCCGCCGCTTCCATTCTCTGGGCTCGCCTCCTTTTGCCCCCCCCATAAAGGGCGATTGCTAAGGGAACCGAGGCGCCAAAATGCGAATAAGAACTCCTGCAAAATGTGAAGTAAACCTTACTTTCCCGCTGCTCTGTTCTTTGATTGTGTGCTGACTAAAACTATTCATTCGACTGTGCACTATGCCAAGTTGGACCTGAATCCCTTTCTGGGCATTAACCTGTTTTTGTGCGCCGCAAGACCTAGCCTGGCGCCTGGATTAGGAAAAGTGCGTTTCTTTAATGAAGCTATGCATATTTATTGAGCACCTACTGTGCGCTCTGGGACAAGGATTTTCAGCTCAATGCGGCCTTGCCCCTGTTCTTAAGGACATGGATTTATTTTATTTTTTTTACTATACGTGAAGAATAAACACTCCGTGAAATTGAATTTGCGGTTCTGTAATTGTCTACTTCAACTTGTGATTGGCGTTCTCTCTCATATCGCTTTGATGACTTAACTTTACTATAAAAGAAAAATATATTAATAGATCATTGCAGGTAGAGCTATCCCAGATCTTTCACCATCTGGAAAATTTGGTAAGGAACCAAAATAGTGGTTAAAATCTGAAGAATGGAAGAAATGCCTGCTCTTTCAATCAAATACTGTATTTGACACTGAAGGATTTCATACTTCTTGTTGATAACAATTTCGTTCCTTCTAACCACATCTTTCCCTACAACAGACTACATTTTGACCGAAGCAATATTTTGAATGTAAGAAACAATTGAGTTAGTGTCACATGACATGAGAGCAAAAACCAACCCCATTTGAAATAAAAACCCATGGTTTTCTTATATTTGGAAATTAGAAAACTGGCAAATTTCTCTTACCTCTCAATCATGATATTTACTGCCCTTAATTAAGAATGCCTAGGGCACTCTGAGCTTCATAATCTCAGCTTCCAACAGGCCTCCCAACTTTCCAAGGAGAAAGAAGCCTGAATGCTTCTCGGAAAGAAAGTTCTCATGGAACTCTGCAAAATTAAAAACCAGGACGATTAAGAAGGGACCACCAAGTTTGTGATATTTTTTAAAGATGGATTTATGTTTGTGGGTTTAGAATGCACATTTGAAAATCATATATAAGATTTCTTGACTCTACCATCAAAGTTAAAAAGAAATCTTTTTTCTCCAAATTCTATTAACCTGCCCTTTAGTAAATTCCGTTTCCATTCGGCCAATAGTTTTTGTTATCTTTCTTCCCTCTAATTTGGGTTTTCTTCCTCCTCCATCTCCACCCTGACTTCTACCACCCCATTCACTTTGCTTAATTTTTCTGGCTTGTTCTCAACTGCTTATTTGAGTGGCGCATCCTTCTTTGTACTACCTACAAATTGTCTCTCTGTTGTCTCCAAAATTAGAACGTATAGAACATTTTTAGCAACAAAATCAAATTCTGAAATACTCCATTCCTCTGTGAATCATATGTAGAATTTGCAAAACAAAATACAGATCAACCATCCTTATTCCTCAAATTCAAAAATACAAAAAGGCTCTCCAGACAAAAGTATGTTTGTTTGTTTTTTTCCTTTTCAGAAGTTTGTAGCAGACTCTTGTCTGGGGGGAAAAACCAATTTCAAACTGATGTGAGGCTATTTCTGGTTTTGGTTCATCCCAGTCAGTGTGAGTAACTATGCAACCACAGATCCTGCTGGTTGTTGTCTCATTTATGTATATGCACCATAGTAGCCGTCAAAATCTGAAAAAGTCTGAATTCTCAACACAGATGGCCCCAAAGGTTTCAAATAAGGGATAGTGGAACTGCATTTACCCTAAAGATTGAAAAAGTAAAATTGGGGATTCCAACAGTTAGTAAACATTGAATAAAAACCTACAAAAAAAAGGATATCTGGCTGGAAGTAGGATGGGAGGTGACAACTAAGGTGGGCATGTGTGCGTGTGTGTGCGTGTATGTATGTGTGTGTTTAGGAGTGGGGTAGAAACAAGGATTGAAATAGACACATATCTGAAAAATTATATGAGCCTACAGTGAATTTTGAAGAAAGCTAGAATTTAAAGGAGAATTCACTCGAGATCTCTTAGGAACAATGACTTTGTTGGCCCTGCATTATAACATCATACAAACACCCCTCTTTTATCTGAGCCTAGCCTGGGGTACCATGTCACCATGGTCACCCCTATCTTGGGGCCTATGGGGGGGCAAGGGCTAGGAACCCAAACTCTATCCCATAGGAGCCCCATGGAAATTGGAGTCACAGAATTCTGACGGGTGACTGTGTAAGTTGTGCAGCCAGGGAAAGGCAGGAAAGAGTCAATCCCTAGACCCTGAAGTAAAGGAAGATATTAGCCTCATGCTTGAACCAGGCTGGAAAAACAGGATAACAATGGGAGGTAATGTCAGCTGGAAGAGATTGGGAAGTTCATCAGAAACATAGGAAAGTGTCCTGATGGAGGTAGAGGGTGTACAAAAGATGGGGAAGAGGAGCACATTCCAGAATGGATGAGTCTTAAGAGAATAAGTAGGAGTAAATGCCATGTTATTTGCTCACAGTCTGTCAATAAGGGCACCATCTCTACATTTGCTTAACAGTTGAAAGGTACAACTACTATGGTTCAGTCATTTAGAAGAAACGAGAGGGGATTTAATCAGTTAGGAAGGGAGAAATAATTTTTTTGTTTTCAGGAATAAGCCCAGCCTACCTCACACATTGTTCAAGCCACCAATCTTGTCACTGTCCCAGCAGCCTCTGGTCAATGTCAGCCCTGTCGCCCTTGTTTAGGTAGGCACTGGGGAGGTGTCTTCTAGTTTTTCTGAATCCAGGTCACCATCCATGTAAGAGTAGGCTCTATCCATCAAGGACAGAGCCATTTGGCTCTGCTCTTTGAGTTGTACTTCTTTTGCCAGATCCTAGAAAGGTCCTCCTGTGCTGAGGACTTTCAGCACTGGGATCACTTCCAGAAATGCCCTGGTTAGACCTATTTGCTCAGAAAGGAAGAAATAGAATGGACGGAATAACGATGAAACAATCATTAAAACATTAGAAATATCCACCAACTCGTTTTCTAGTGTAGCAGATAATAATGTTGGCAAAATACTTTAAAAATTAGGAAGAGCACTTTAGTGGTTTACTCTCTTTATTATAATTCCATTCTTGAAGTCCATGCTGGAAGGATTCAGATACGAGGGAAACCATGATGTAATGAGGCCTGCCTACTATTTGTAATAATGACTAGGTCCGAGAGTTCCAGTTTTGGGTGTATTCTGTATTGCAGTATTGAGATATGTTGTTGCATTGTGGCAGGTTCTTGGCTTAGGTTATTATAAGAATTGTGACTAAAAGTGGTATTTCTGTTTTTCAAAAAAATTGATAAAGAATTTTACATGTAAAAAAACTATGAATTCCTTCATTTTCTAATATTTTTCCAATCTAAAAACATATGATATTGTTGAATCAGTTTAATGTGTGTCAATAATAGCACATACACTATTCACGTTGTGTGTTGACTAGGTTTCAAGTTAACTTGACTTCAAATTAATTGTTGTTTCATGGTAGTACCTATGACTATAATAATTTACTCGTCCGCAAAGAAAAGAAATAAATCATGGAAGTGAAAACACAAGAAGCCACTGGTATGATGGATGATTAGTTTTAAAATAAATATGTTTATCGTAATGAAAGAATTGTGAGTCAGATGCCCAGGAGGTGGGAACACAGGGAAAATTAGAATATTTCCAGTGGGACTAATTCTAAATGTCTTTTCTATCTTTTTCAAGCATCTGTTTCCTTAACAATGATCACTTATGGGCACAAATCTTACTCCATATTTGAATTTTATTTGTATTCACTTAGAGCTTTGTGGAGAAATGACGGGGTGTAAACACATCAAGCACCTCATCTTAATCTTTTTGTGTTTTTGTTTCTATGACTGTAAGTTGTAACTTTTGGTTACCCTGAAGCAAGTGCCTGCCTACCAACATATCCTCACCCTGGTGGCATTTCAGTTATCCTTGCTCACCATCGGCATGATACGCCATTTCTACATCTCTCCTGGTGTGCCCCATGTCTGAGGACTGAATGGAAAATGGAACCCTGGAAGTGTCAGAAATAGTTACCCTGACTAGTTGAATACTTTGGTTCATAGGATGGGCAGGTTTTGCTTATGCTTGGTGGAGTTTGAAGGGGATTAGTGTTGAATCATGACTTGGGTGTTGACTTAAACACAAGCAAGGAAAGTGAGAGTAGAGATGGAGTCATCACCATCAGGAGTAACCCCAGGAAATTGTTCACCATTTCCATGGCTCTCTTTGGAGCTTGTTAGCTAAGCTTCCT